TATTTATTTATTTATTTATTTATTTATTTATTTATTTTTACTTTACCATGGTGTGAAAGCAACAGACATTCAACAGGAAACGTACTTCAAATTTTAAATTTTTATCTTTTCCCAGGCTAGTAACATTCAGTAGGATACCCTGGAGATGCTGGACAGCAGTGGTGGGCCCAACTCCCCATCAGGCACAGGATCTTGAGTGTAAACAACTAACACTCTGCAGTGTACCCTGTGGCCAGCATTCCTTGTTTTAGTTCAATGCTTCAAACATTCTCCAGGCCCAAGTGTGCTTTCAGCTGTGTGAATAGTCAACAGAGAGTTCCCATACAACCATTGTTTATCACTTTCAGTACAGTATTCAATAAATTACATGAGCTATTCAACACTTTATATTCTTTTGCCCAGCTACAGGTTAATGCATGTGTTCTGAGCAAATTTATGGTAGGCTGGACTAAGCTGTTGTGTTCAGCAGGTTAGGTGTATTAAATGCATTTCCAACTTAAGATATTTTGGACCAAAAAAAGGGGGAATTCTATGGGAAGTAATCTCACAAGCTGATCTGATCATAAATTCCTAAATGAGCAGGTCATGCCCCAGGCATAGAACTCCTTTAATAAAAGGTTTTAAACCAGCCCTGTCCATTGCACATCTAGGTTAACACACCATTGAAATACCAGAAGCAATGCATTTTGAAGGGGGCATCAACCCTCAAAAGAGAACATAATCTTATTAACTGTCCAATTTCTGAGTTATTTCCTTCCACCTCATGAAATCTTCCTAAATTCTCTCCTTAATTTCAGACAGGTGACCATAGAAGAAACTGCAAAACTGTTATTCTCAGGAGCAGTAAGATCTTGCTCCCCACACATGTCATCAGTTTGGCTCAAATAAACTCATTAAAATTCTCTACAACACAAGAAAAACAATTAAAAATTTTTTAAATAAAAATTTAAAAAAAAGAAAAGTCTCTACAGGTTTGAACATTTTTTTTTTGTCAATATTTTCAACTTGATAGGTTATCAGGACATAACCTCACAATCAAGGACTATCTGTATCCCAACCACCAATGACCTACCTGATCAAGCCTCCCCTAAAGCTATCTGCCCTGCCCTAAAGGAATAATAACAATATCCATAGTGGGTGTCTGAGAAATATTAATTCAGCTAAAATTGAGAGCCTTCATGAATCTTACTAATGGCCCAGTGCACAAATTCTTGCACATTGAAAGGAAATTAATTAGAAGAAATATTTTAATATCGCTATTCACCCTTTCTCTATAATAGGAGTGTCAACCAAATTCACGATAGACAATGACAGATCAAAACACATGCATGCAATTGGCACCAGCAAGAGCTTTATATCTATCATGCACGCGTGAGTCAACTTAGCCTTTTATGGATATAGAATTAACTTGCTTAATTAGACTTGCTTTCTTATTTAGCTAAACTTTTCCCAGCCCAGTGAAACACCCAACTTCTCTTTCAGGTAATTGTCAGCAACACAGCAATAAATATCAACACAAGCAGATTATTATTATAGATCATGCAGGAGAACAAAGGGTAAAATATTTAACTGCAGCAGTGTTTGACTACATTCTGCACAGTAAGAAAACCTGAAGTTATTTTCAAGGTCTACAATTTCTTACTTCTTTTCAGTTGGGTTAAGTTTCTAGGCTTTTTAAATCTCCATTTTTCAGTTAATGAAAAGAAAACAGGATTCTACCAAGTCTCCGATCTACCTACTCCAGGACTTCTGTGAGGATCAAATGAGATGAGGCACAGGAAAACACTTCACAGACATTTGGTTAAAGTGTAAAATGTTTCCACCTGGCTATAAAGCAAGTTGTGTTCCTGGGCTAAAGAAACTGCAAGGGGGCTAGTTGCTAGGAAGAGGAAGCCAAGCGTTGCTATGTGACATCATTACCTAGAGCCCACAGCCACCGTTTCTGGGCAGGGCTGTACTGTGGACCACATTTTGTACCATGGGGTCTTGGCAGGTCGGCTGGGATTTGGTGGGCTGAGACTCCAGGGTGGTGACGGGGCCTGTGTCCCACTTTGGGGAAGCCAAGTGTTGCTTCGTGAGCACCAGGCCTGCAATGCTGTTTCTCTGTAAATGGCCAGTGCGCATCACAGCAGCTCTTGCATGAGCATCTGACTCCTGGTGGTCAGTGCCTGTCATAGCTACCAGTCAGACAGACACTTAGCATATCAGTCTGATATAGATATAGATGATATAGATATAGATGATAGATATAGATATAGATATACTCAGAGGGAAGACTGGTGACCAACATATAATAATAAATAAATCACCTAGTTTGTTAGAAGGTGATAGGTGCTAAGGTGAATAATATGACTAGATATAGGGAGGCCTGGCACATTTAAGACACAGGAAGGAAGCCAGTGTGGTTGGAGGAAATGGAGGGAGGGGGATGAGGAAGAGTAAGAGGTATTGACAGCAGAGATGAATCATAGAAGACAAATCTGAACATTTCTAGACAAAGCTGATCACTCAGGCATGCCCAATCAGGCCCTGGTGTCTAGTTCTTACCTACATCTTGCCCTTTCCTCAATAACTTGGTTTTCTAGGAGGCAGAGAGCTCTGACAACCGAAAGCCCCAGGCACATGTGGGCACACAATCCACATGTTTGCTCTGTGTGTGTAGGCTGATGAATCCTGGCAACAACGGAACAATCTCATGCCTTTTTCTCCAGTCATTCTGCTTTTCCTAAAGGCTTCTTTTCCTTGTTAAATGTACAACCTCTTTCCTGGCTAGTCTGTGATTTAAGCATCTCACAAGTGTCAGCTCATTTCCCCATTTCTTTTTTTTCTTTTTTTTTTCTTTTTATATTTTTACAGAGAGGAAGAGAGAGGGATAGAGAGTTAGAAACATCGATGAGAGAGAATCATTGATCAGCTGCCTCTTGCACTACTGGGGATGTGCCCGCAACCAAGGTACATGCCTTTGACCGGAATTGAACCCGGGACCTTTCAGTCCGCAGGCCAACGCTCTATCTATCCATTGAGCCAAACCGGTTTCAGCAGGCATCATTTCCCCATTTCTGAACGTCTTCCATTTCAAATTCACCTTGTGATGATATTAATTACAACTATTTCAGACATGTCTACAAAGACTCAAACCCTGCCTCTGGCTGCCTGGCCAATGTGTATCTGTTCCTGACCTTCAGGTCCAGGACACACACAACACTGCGGGGAGGGGAGCATTTGAGATCTTGTTCCAGAGCATGTCTTCAGTTTGGCTCAAATAATTCCTATTAAAAAAATTTTAAAACGCACACACACTTAAACCATTGCAGTGAGAAAAGCTTTTCACACAGGTCTAAGAAGATCTATCCTGCTTCAGAATCAAGAGGAATTAGACAGTCCGGCAGAAGGTCACAATTTGATTCCCGGGTTGCGGCTGGATCCCCAGTGTGGGGCGTGCAGGAGGCAACTGATCAATGATTCTCTCTCATCACTGATGTTCTCTCTCTCACCCTACCTTTCTCTGAGATCAATAAGCTTTTTTCTTTTTTAAGGAGCAAGACAATGGCACTTGGGACTGAGATGAGCCATGAGACACCAAGCCCAGGTTTCTTTGGGGGCACAAGGCCAGATGGGAAAGTTTGCTTGATGCATGGAGCCTCTTTCTGTATTGGAAACACCCCTCTCCCCTCCAATGACTGCAGATTTGCCCTATCTCCTTAATGCTCTCTTCCTTGCATCTCTAAACCCTGGTCTCCTCTTGCCTTACCTTCATTTCCCCCTCCTCACCCACAAAGAAAATATTACAGAATATTGCGCAGGAGGCAGAGGGCTGCAGGAGGGAAAGCTCCTAGAATCTGTATCATCTCTACAAACTTTGGTGTCACCAGCTTTATGATCTCCTCACCAGCCAATACAGACCCAGAGAAGCCACACCTGTAGGATAGAGATGAATTGTCCTAAAAAAGACTGATGTGGACAAGACACGGAGTTGGGAGTCACAGGAAGAGAATCGGGACCTGTGTCCTGGGCAATGAAGATGTGACCTTAACAAGGTGGAGCCCAACACTCAGGAAAAATGTAACAGCACCATGACAACACAGGAGATGTCACAAGTTGTTGACAGCTTGAGGGCTCTGACTCTGAGGGCACAGAACCCAGGGGAGGATGGGTGGGGGTCTCGGCCAGCTCCATCCAGGGGAGCTTAAGCCAACTCCCAAAAGTTGGGCACGAGATGCAATTTGGGTGTGAACTCTGCTTCCACCATTTCCTAGCTGTGACATCAGTGTCACACTGACGGTATTTCAACATCTGCTTAAACTTTAAGTTTCCTTTCTTGAAACCATGAACCAGACATCCAGTTCACGAGGATGCTGGGAAGCAGAAGTGAAATATTTCGAGCGGTTTTAGCTCACACCTGGATCTCCAACTTGCCCTCTCAATAAATGGCATCCATCGATGCCCCCCTCACCCCTATAAATAAATAAATAAATAAATAAATAAATAAATAAATGAATGAATAAATAAATAAATAAATAAATAAATAAAGCGTCTTGTTCTTGCCAAAACCGGTTTGGCTCAGTGGATAGAGACTGAAAGGTCCCAGTTTTGATTCTGGTCAAGGGCATGTACCTTGGTTGCGGGCACATCCCTGGTAGGGGGTGTGCAGGAGGCAGTTGATCGATGTATCTCTCTCATCGATGTTTCTAGCTCTCTATCCCTCTCCCTTCCTCTCTGTGAAAAAAAAAAAAAATCAATAAAATATGTATTTTTAAAAATTTTTCTTTTAAAAAATAAAGCGTCTTCCTGAGATTTCTGTCCCATCCCCAGTCTGAAAGTTCTGCCTATCCCGAACCCCTCTGGCTGCTCAGCTGCCCACCCCCTGCCTCTACCCATCTGCCAGGGGGCAGCCTCTCCTCTCCCCCCAGTCAGATCCCATTCATTCGGTCTGGGTCCCAGCCTCTGCTTCAGTGGCACCTCGGGGCGCCTCTGCCAGGTCCACCCTGCGCCCAGCCTACCTGATGTAGGGGAGGAAGGGGTTGACGTGCCCAGAGAGCACAGCGACCACGTAGGAGATGATGAAGGCGGCGGAGGACCAGGTCACCAGCAGGAAGGGGACGAAGGCCATTCCCTTGAGGAAGCGGGGCATCGCGCTGCCCGGGGTGCGCTGCGCTCAGCCGGCCGGGCGTCGGGCTGCTCCGGGGGCGGGGGCGCCACGTGCGGGCCGTCCGGGCGGCCACCGCGCGGCGCGGAGCGATGGAGCCTCCGGGCCGGAGCGCAGGGAAGGGAAGGGAGACGCTGGAGCGGAGGCGGCTGCGGGCGGCGGGGCAGCGGGCCGGGGTGGGAGAGTGGGTGGGGCGCCGGCGGCCCGGGCTTGTTGCGAAGCAGAGTGAAGTCACAAAGCGGCCCGCCGAACTGGGAGCGCGCGGACCTCCCCCGACGCCACCCCGGGACGCGGCTCCTTTCGCTTTTGGTTCGGAGGCGGCGGGGTGGGCGCGGGCGGGCGGGCGGGCGGGCTGCGCGCGGGGGATGCGGGCGGAAATGTCCGGCTCTTGGCTCCGCGGTTGCACAACTCCCAACTCCCGAGAGCCCGATCTCCTCCCGCCCCCTCCTTCCCTCGGGGTTTCCGGGGTACCGGGCCTGGAGCACCTGGGCTTCCCCTCCCGGGCGCCTCGCCCGCGCCGCGGGGGGAGCCCCAGCGCGGACACCCGCCCCATCCCGCAGCGCTGCTGCTCCAACTCCTGCTGCTGCTCCAGCTCCTGACGCTGCTCCAGTTCCTGCTGCTGCTCCAGCTCCTGCTCCTGACGCTTCTCCTGACGCTTCTCCTGCTGCTTCTCCTGCCCCTGCTCCTGCTCCTACTGCTGCTCCTACCGCTTCTCCTGCTGCTTCTCCTACCCCTGCTCCTGCTCCTGCTCCTGCTCCTGCTCCTGCTCCTGCTCCTGCTCCTGCTCCTGCTCCTGCCGCTGGGTGAGGGCTTTGCCAGGCCAAGCGCTTCAGAAGTGACAGCCACCCGGCTGGTGTCCCCACGAAAACCTAGAGAGTGCGGGGCAGGTAGGAGTATGGTGCGGCTGGTTCTGTTTTAAACCCGCATGGGCTCGGACTATTGGTTTCCTAAAAAATGACAGTTCCCTTTCTCCTCTCACGGATCAGGGTTAGCCCCAGCGCCGAGTCGTGACCTGAGTGAAATGAGTAATGGTGACTTCATACATGTCCAACCCGGCGATAGGGATTCGTGTCCCGCAGGCACTGACAAGCGTGGGGAGTTGGAGGTGGTGTTTAGGGATTCTGAGCCCAGGGTGGAGGTCATTGAGTCACTGGGTCATCGGCGACCAAACGAGGGTTCATTTCAGCTGCATAAACATTTCTCGGGTGCCCCACTCTGCCAGGGGATGGGATACAAAGATTAGTCCTATGAGGTTTAAGAAAACAGACGTTCAGAGTAAAATGAAATTGTATGGGATATTAAGTAGATTGGAGATGATTTTTTTTTTAAAGAAATATGCAGAGAGATGAGAGGCAGGGACAGAGCTACGATGAAGAACTGGGGAAGGTTTCCTGGCAGATATTAGAGTTTTTGAAAGTAAAGGATTGTTCTCCAGGCAAAGAAAGGTGAGACTAGCATTCTAGGCCAAAGAAGCAAGAGAAAAAAGCAGAATGTGAAGTTGCTTGTTTTCCTGAAACTGAAGAAAAGCACTCAAAGAAGTGTAGGCAGAAAATGGAGGGGTGGACAGAGACCAAGTCAGCAGAGCCCTGCTAAGAGTCTTTGGTGTGTGGTGTTTTATGTATATTTTACTGATTTTCGAGAGAAAGGGACAGGGAGAAAGAGATAGAAACATCCATGATGAGAGAGAATCATTGATCGGCTGCCTCTCAACCTGGGCACTTGCCCTGACTGGGAATTGAACCGTGACCTCCTGGTTCATAGGTCGACACTCAACCACTGAGCCACAGCAGTCAGGCTGTGCTTTTGTTTTTTATTTGGTTTGGGTTTTGGTAGTGAGGAGAGTGTAGGAATATGGACAGACTCGTATTTAAGGAGATCATTGTGTCTGTGAGGGGAGTGAGCACCATATTGAATAACCCAGAAGCTTCAAATTAAGGCTTTTTAAAAATCACACAAGCTGGAAAAGAATCGACAAAAAGAAAAAATATCACAAGAGCTCATTGAAATATGGTAGCAATCATACCTGGGTAAAAACTGCTATTTGAATTTTAACCTTGCTATCTGACTTCGACCTTCGATTACTTGCTTAAACAATAGGGTAGTTACAGGAGATTGACTCTCACTGACTAGGTAGCTTCAGGGGTAGAAACTATTGATAACCTTTAGTTCTGCTTTTGTATTATGGGCAAGATAGGGCCACATTCCAATGTCCAGCAGGGTGTGACTGGGAACCAACCCTGCTGGCTGTCCCCAGTCTTTAGAATTTAGTCTTTAGGATTTAGGAACAGATATGGACGGCCAGTTCTTTGTCCTGAGGGAACAATCAGGGTTAGCCGAGGCAGTGACATCATTACAGACCTGAGTAAATCCCCTGGACTGGGCCAAGTTCTCTCTCTTCCACCATGCTGCCGGTGTGAGTGGGACAGCCCATGCTAGCATGGAGAAGGCTCTTTTGTTTATTGCATCAGACTTGGCTCCCTGGTGGTCCTTGGGGATCATGAATTCGTTTGGGATCCCCAGCTAGGATCATGAGGAACCCCAATCCGGAGAGCCTGACTGGCCGCGGTAGGTGTGTGTTTGTCTGTGTTTTTGTGTGAGCGCTCTGGAGGGACTGCCCCTCCATCGGGGCTCTCACCTGGGTGTTTGCTGGCTGCTGCGTCAGCCATGATTTGAGCCAGGATTTGAATCTGTAATAAATTCTAGCATGCTTAATCAAATTGGCTCCAGTGGTCCATCTCTTGGGGACTCGCTCCGTAACACTCATAACTGTGTATGGTGGCAGGTGGCTATTAGAATAATCAGAGGGGGTCATGTGCTGTACACCTGCAAATAATGTAAAGTAACATTGAATGTCAATTGTCAAATATAATTGAAAAATAAGCGTAGAAACCACAAAAGCTGTCGTTCATGGTGATTCATTGTACATCTCTACCTAGGCTTGTGTGTTTTTTTCATTATTATTTTTAAAATATGTCTTTATTGATTTTTGTAGAGAGGGGGGAGGGGAGAGGGATAGAGAGATAGAAACCTCCATGAGGGAGGCATGCATCAGCTGTCTCCTCCCCGCTCCCCACCAAAGATTGAGCTGCAACCTGGGCATGTGCCCTCACCAGGAATTGAACCTGGGTTCATGGGTCAACACTCAACTCTTTAACCACACTAGCCGATGGTTTGTGTGTTCTGAAAACCACTCTTCTCTGGCCTTGTCCTCCCCTTGCGTTTCTCTTTTCCTGCTCTACTAGACTCACCTGATTTTAAAAACCCTCCCTGAGGCAGAGGAATTATGTCATCAAATGCAATTCACCCATTCATCTTATCTTTCTGTTGCCTCCCTAATTCCCAGATAATCACTTTTCACACAATCACAAGAATTGTGTGACTAAAATGGCAATCGGTATTTTGTTATTTAAAATAAGTATGGATGCAGTGTATGTATTTAAAACAGGTAGATAGCTTCTGGCCCACGTGGCTAAGCGTCACCCCATCCACCCAGAGGTTAGATTAGTAGATTCCCTGCGAGGGCACATGTCCAGGTTTCTGCTTCATCCCTAGTACAGGGCAAGTGGGAGGCAGCCAATGCTGTTTCTCTCTCTCCCTCCTTCTTCTCTCTCTCTAAAACCAATATAAACATATTAAAAAATAAGATAACTATAACTGTATAGACGTACATATGGTATCAAACAGCCCTGGGAGGCACAGAGCTGCTGCTTCTAAAAGCTTTCCATACTGTAGACCTTATTAACACCTTCGCCTCAGAATAGTAAAATTCATATGGTACGAAATGTTAAAGCCCTAGAAAACTGGTGAAGGAAACAAGGATACATCACCCCAAAGTATACAACTTTGACATAAGAATGTTTTTGGGCTGAAAGCAATTCAGAAGCAGGAAAAGCAGGCAGAATTCTCTCTATCTGCCTTTCTGTCTAAAAGTAGGATGTGTATTTCCTTTACTGGAGACTGCTCCAGACTCTTAGCCCAGAGAAGGCACCAGAGGAACCTGCAAACCTTGCTCCATCAGTGTTTCCCCCATTTGTTTACCTTCCCAACCACCCCTGCCCCTCCCCAGCTCTCCCTTGGAACCTAAAACCATTTTTCTTTGTCCTGTCATTTCTATACAAATTCGTTGCTGCTGTTTTTATCCTCACCCAAGAATGTTTTTCCATGGACTTTTACAGAGAGTGGAAGAGAGAGGGAGGGACAGAAATATGGATGTGAGAGAAACACGTTGATTAGCTGCCTCTGGCACACTCCCAGACCAGGGCCTGGGCGAGGGAGAAGCCTGCAACCAAAGTACATGTCCTTGACCGGAATCGAACGCGGGACCCAGTGTGGGTGGTGAATAAATGAGTATCCCTTCTTCTCTCTCTATCTACCCCTATCAGCTGGCTGGATACCGATGCCTGTGATGACCTTGCACTCCACGTATTATGGATAGAGACTGTCAATCTAAGTCACCTCACTTGACTCTCCGACCTTATCTAACTCATCTAAAGTGAGTTTATGTGTTATTTCCTGTTTTACAGAGAGGGTCAGCCAGATGTTAACACTTCTGTGCACAACAAACAAATATAGGAGAACTAGCGTGAATGAAAGATGATTGTAATTCATTATACTTTGAGTTAAATCACAATAGTATACTATTCAGTGAATGGCAGGGTCACGGGGATCATTCTAGATGGCATGTCTGCATCCTCCTCTTTCTGAGTCCTTAGAAACAGCCAAGTGAATTGATGCGTGAATGTGGGTAACCACTGCTCCGAAAAAAAAAAAACGGCAAACATAGTAATGCGTACCATCTCTTTAGAAGTAATATGCGTAAGTTCTATGCTCCCTTTGGTGGTGAGAATACACTTAAAATATGCTCTTGCAGGGTAGAGATTAGATAGAATCTCTTTTCCTGCATATTCCTGCTTTTGGAAAAGGGGCATTGTCACAATATGGATGTTATGATTTGAGGTATCTGTCACCATGTGAATGGCCCACCC